CCCCAAAACCCCAAAACCCCAAAACCCCAAAACCCCAAAACCCCTTACTTTATAACTCAGGTTGAAACTTTTTAAGCACCCCAATTATCATCACTACTACCATTATCCTGAATTTTAAAATCATTCCTTCTAGGGTTCCTGGCACCTCTGTTTGATCCTCTATATCCTCTTCCTGCTTCTCCTCCTACCAATTAAGACGATATTACCCCTATTGCCTCTATTAGCTCTCCTGTTTCCTCTTTGACCTCTCTGATCAGCTCCTCTTATATGTCTTCCCCTAGCTGGCCCTCTGCCTGCTCTCGAGCCTCTGCTTCCTCTAAAACCTCTGCTTGAACTTTGAATGGGATCACGATGGTGTCCCCATTTAGACTCTTCTTGTATTGAGTTGTTACTGGAACTCCAGGAATCATCCTCCATTTCTCTTCTAATCTCGCTCTGATTGAACATTGAAGAAGGGAACGAATTGTTTTTCTGTTCTTCTCTATTATGCTTCCTACTCAAATCAGTTATGTCACTACTGGCTCCCCAATCATCTAAGGATAAGAAGAATGGTTACCTTCTGAATCTGAACTATCACGCTTGTCCTCTTCTTCAGAAGAGCTAGAGGTCAAGAAGTAGCTTACCTATCTGCTCCCCAAGCTTTGGAAGGAGCCTTACGCTCCTCTCTAGGAGGAGCTCTTTGAGCTAAAGAGTTTAGATCAGCGAGCTTACCCTTCTTTTCTTCTTCACGTCTTTGTCTAGGCTGGTTCTCTTTACAATCAGTAAACTTAGAAACATAAGCCAATAACCAAATCTCAATATATTTGATGAATTTTACAAATTCCTTTAGGATTGTTTTCAAAATTTGACTAGTCCAAATCTAGAAATTACATATTGCTCACTTCCAGAGTCAATATGTCAACAAATAATAAAATGTGAATGAAAATATTACATTTGGGGAGTTCAGTCAATGACAGAGCTAACTGCTGATATCAAATAAAATAGCTGAAGCTACAATCTAAATATATTTCCTCCCTGAGGAATTCCAAAGATAGTAAACTCACAAATATTAAATTATTGGAAAGGCAGCTGAAGTGCTCATAGTGAATAAAAGGATGCATCAAATGTTTTTAGATAAACCTAAAGGCTCCAAATCAGGCTATGACTCTTAATAAGAGATTTAAATTTTATTAAATAGAGGTTCTCTAAGGATGATCTAAATTAAGTCATTTCACATTGCCGAAGTGAAGATTTATAATTTAGCCAATGGTCAAAGGATACGAAACAGTTTTATAAATCCTCAAGCTATAAACAAGAATTCTATCTGCATAATAAAAAGCAATACAAGAGAATAATGCATTTTACTCTCAGAAATAACCAAATAGCACATACCTGGCTTCCAATTTTTAGAATAAGCCTTGATTTTATTTATCAAGATCCTAAACAATGATCTTAAAATTACTTTAATTAAGCTTTGCTCAGTCTTAATCTCATTCATCAATTTCATAATCTTCTTAAGCTTATTTTTAGTTATCTTATTCTGTTGCTCTGCAATAGTGACCATTTGCTTGTATTCAAGATTACAGTCAAGACTAGCCTTCCCATTTCCTTCATAGGAATGACTAAATCCTCCACAATTCAAACAGACTTGAGCCTCCATATTTAGCAAAAAATAATAATTTCTGGGGTTTTGGGGTTTTGGGGTTTTGGGGTTTTGGGG